CAATACAATCTTCAGTTTATCCCCTCCAGAGCCGTCCAAACCCCTTCCACCACCCGCTCCAGCCTACTTCCCTGCTGAATAGCCTGCAGTTTCCTTTCACAGTGTTTTTTTCACATCTAGATCTTTGCCTGTGATAATGTCCCTCTACCTCTGCATCCTACCACATGGCTGCGTCTTACCAGATTTATAGGTGCAACCCTGCCTCTACCATGCGCCCTCACCCCCCTCCTCTCCCCCATGGCACTCATCAGGGCCCTTGTCATGCTGCATTGCGGTTGCATGTCCTTCAACTCTCCCATGGAATGCAAATTCCTTAAAGCAGGAAGTGTGTCTTGTTTAGAGTGGCGTCCCCAGCAGCCGTAGACACTTGGTAAATAATATTGGATGAATGAATTGACCTCTGACTTCAGCTTCTTCGTGTTGCAATTCACAGGGAACATCCTTTCCAAAGTACACTTTTCTGGACATCCCTCTCCTCCGATGCCTCCCTTCCTCAGAAGCTCTGGCTTCCTGTTGTTTACTGCTTCCAAAGGAGGCTTCGTGCCCCTCTCTTCTCTTTTCGAATGTATGGGAACAGAAAGCATGCAAGGCCTGGATGTTTTGAGGTCAAGATGTCTTAACAAGTGAGGAATTATAAACAGCTTCTGCATATCACAGGAGCCACCAGAGCAGGAGGTGCTGAGGATCAACAGAGAAGATGTAAAGGAGCCTCAACACCTTCTTGGAGGTATAAAGTCAGGTCCAGGGAAAGAAACTTCAATTCCTTATAGGCACCGTTCTCAGGAGACATGACACACTGAGGTCTTTAAGCCACTTTTGGTTCATTTAAAAAGTCTGTTGGGGTAGGACGCAGTGGCTCATGTCTATAACCCCAGCACTTTGGGAGGCCGAGGCGGGCGGATCACAAGGTCTGGAGTTCTAGACTGTCCTTGCTAACATGGTGAAACACCGTCTTCTAAAAATACAAAAAAAAAAATTAGCTGGGTGTGGTGGCACGCACCTGTAATCCCAGCTACTCAGGAGGCTGAGTTAGGAGAATCGCTTGAACCCGGGAGGTGGAGGTTGCAGTGAGCTGTGATCACGCCACTGTACTCCAGCATGGGCAACAGAGCGAGAGTCTGTCTCAAAAAGAAAAGAAAAAAAAAAGTCTGTTGTTTAGAAGCAAAACTTCCCAGACTCTCAAATGGGGAAGGCTGTCTGTGAGACCACTGTTACGTAATTACAGCTGCCTTTGTGCAATAAGATGATTATTTAATCATCTTTTGCACATAATAGTAAGTGAATGGAAAAACGAAACTAGATGCTAATGATAGCAACTGTAGGTTTACATGAGCTTGTTATAATTGAGAACAAGGTGGCCAGATGGCCAGGCTACATCTCTGACCTTGACTGTGAAGTATTTAAATGCGAGATTATAAAATTAACACAAGATAAAAGTATGCCAAATTGCAGGGTCTTTATTGCCAGTGACCACGGAGGACTCACGTCTCTCCAACCTGTGGCTCCGAAAGGAGGGCGTCAAGACCTTTTATACCCATAAAACCACCTTGAGAGTGAGGGTGAGGGGCAGGGGTGGGGGTGAGGGGCTTCAGACATTCTGAGGGCCAGTGGATTCTGTAAATCACCTCCTGGGCGGAGATGTGGGTGAGGGGCTCTGGTCATTCCAGTGGATTCCTGGGCGAAGATGAGGGTGAGGGGCTTTGGACTCTCTGAGGGCCAGGGGACTTTTTAACATTCTGAATGTTACTTAAGTGGTTCACAAAAGTCAAGATTAGCATTTGTTTACACATTATCTGGGTAGGGTGGAAATTACGGTCCTTAATTACTTATTCACATTTGGGTTATAGAGAGCAGTTTCAACAGAAAGCCGAGGTATGCAGTTTTATGGGGCTTTTACCAAGTCACAAACGGCCAAGTCAGTGTGCTTTCGGTAGCCAACTGTGTGTTCAGTTGTGAAGGATAAGAAGAAGTAATGGTTAATTATGTACAAAACATTGGGAATACATTGGTGGAGGTTGAATCTAGGTGAGGTGAAATTAGGGATTTAAAAGACTTTTAGCTCTCTTAAAAGAAATGCCTTACGATATACAAGTCTATTGTTCTACTTTCAGGCAGTTCCAGAAACATTATAGATGACAGTTGGGGGCTGACTGATCAAAGAGGGCCCAACAGCCCTGGAACTATTTGAAACGCTGCAACAGCAACTATGTAGGTGTTTCGTTAAAGGGGGTCTAGAGTTATATGGAGAGATAGCTTCATAACTGACCTTTCTGGTGAAAGCATAATACAGAGGAAAACAGCTCTCATCAAGAGTCCAAGCTCTCTAATTTTTAAAAGATAGGAAGTCTACGTTCTTGCTGGGTGGTTCTCAAACTGGGTGTAAGCCAAAATTACCTGGAGTGCTTGTTAAAACCATCTGCTTCTAACTGAGTAAGTCTGAGGGGGACTAGGAATCTGCATGTCTACCAAGTTTCCATCCGATGCTTTGTGCTTCAGACCGCACTTGGAAAATCACTCCAGACTAATGGCTTTTAACCTTGTAGGCACATTAGCATCTCTCGGGGAGCTTTTTAAATACACCCATGTTAGGACCTCAGCCCCTAAGGATTCTAAATGTAATTGATCTGTGTTCAGGCTTCAGATTTTATTTTTTCGCCTTTTTTGAGTCAGGGTCTGCCTCTATCACCCAAGCTGGAGTTCAGTGGCGAGATCACGGCTTATTGCAGCCTTGACTTCCAGGACTTGAGTGGGCGCCTCAGCTTCTTAGATAGCTGGAACCACAGGTGTGCCACCACACCCGGCTGGTTTTTGTATTTTTTGTAGAGATGAGGTTTTGCCATGTTGCGCAGGCTGGTCTGGAACTCCTGGGCTCAAGCCATCCACCCACCTTGGCCTCCCAAAATGCTGGTATTACTTGCATGCGCCAAAATGCCCAACCAGGCTTTGGAATCTCTTGAGGTTTCTTCAGGTCATATGAATATTTGCCCAAGCTTGATGACTACTGCTCTAAACTGTGCCATCATCAGGTTAATTAGTAGATTTTAGGTCCATTTTATTATCTTTCTGTAGAAAAAGCATAAAATTGATGAGATGGGGTGCAAAGTCAAGTCAAAACTTCTATTTCACACCCTATTTCACTGGGTAGCAAATTTCTAGCTTTGAAGAAACTGGTTTCCATAGAATGCTAGCTTTTGAAAACCACATCTTAAGTAAGGCTTGTTTCCTGACTGATGAACTTACACCCTGTTCTAGTTAAGTCAGGGTTTTCTTTCCACTGCTTTCCCAAAATGCTAGACTGATTTTTCTTTCTTTTTTTTTTTTTTTTTATGAGACAGAGTCTCACTCTGTCACCCAGGCTGGAGTGCAATGGTGCGATCTCAGCTCACTGTAACCTCTCCCTCCTGAGTTTAAGCAATTCTCTGCCTCAGCCTCCCAAGTAGTTGGGATTTTGGCGCATGCCCCCATGCCCAGCTAATTTTTTGTATTTTTAGTAGGGAGGGGATTTTACCATCTTGGCCAAGGTGGTCTTGAACTCCTGACTTTGTGATCTACCTGCCTTGGCCACCCAAAGTGCTGGGATTACAGACTTGAGCTACCATGCCTGGCCACTGATTTTCAACTCCATGCCTCTCCAAGGCATTTTCTTATGTGAACCACAGTTATTTCCCAAAATGGCAGAAAACCAAGAGAACTACCAGAGATGATATGAGGGTGGAGGGGTGGGCATCCATATTTTAGGCATACATAGACTTAACAATAAATAACATTGAGTGGATCATTCCTTCACCAAGTCCCACTTATTCTTCACAGCAAGATGCAGTCTCACTTACGTGCCTGTCTTGAGCAGCAGAATCTTTGCCAGGAGCAGTGAGTGAGCCTAAGGTAAAGCCAGTGCAGCTTTAGTGATAGTAGCTGGCTAGAAGTGAACAGCATTGCTTCGCTTTCATTGTGCCTTTTAAAATGACGATCTCCTCTTGATGCCAAGACTCATGGCTTTTCACTTAAAATATGTTTCCTTTTAAAGTTAAGTAAAATCAGAGAGTGAATCAAATGGTTAATTGCACAGATGGTATGCCAGGTCAAAAGTAAGCAGAAGGTAGTTTGAGATGGATTAAAGACCCAAGAAATGCTGCCTCGTCTGAGTACTTTCTGCTTCTGTCTGCAGAAAAGGATCTCCACCTAATAGGAGAACACTGCAAAAGTGAGAAGGGAAGGCACCTATTATCAAAACCCACCCAGCCATAGATGCCGTGCTCACATTGCACCTGTTATGTGACATGTGGCTGCCCATGCACACTCAGCCTGTCACGAACCTGTGGCACTGAAAGGCTGGGGCGGGCAGTGGCTTCAGTATTCTTGGAATCCTGTTTAATGGATAGCAATTCCTGGGGGCTGCAGGGAAGCTCCACCAGGGCACACCAGCCCCTCTCACAGATCTTGTCTTCAGAGTCATTTATATATTTTATAAAAAACTACCTTAAATGTTTGTGTGTTAGCTGGATATTGGATTGGACTCTTTAAAATCTGAAAGATCGCCAGGCATGGTGGCTCACACCTGTAATCCCAGCATTTTGGGAGGCCAAGGCGGGAGGATAATCTGAGGTCAGGAGTTCAAGACCAACCTGACCAACATGGTGAAATCCTGTCTCTTCAAAAAATACAAAATTAGCCGGGTGTGGTGGCACATGCCTGTAATCCCACCTACTAGGGAGGCTGAGGCAGAAGAATCACTCGAACCTGGGAGGTGGAGGTTGTGGTGAGCTGAGATCATACCATTGCATTCTAGGCTGGACAACGAGCAAAAATCCATCTTGAAAAAATAAAATAAATAAATAAATAAATAAATCTGAAAGATCAGCATGCCCTCAGAATGATTTGTGTGTGTGTGTGTGTGTGTGTGTGTGTGTGTACATGCGCATGCACACATGTGGGATTATTGAATAAAATATTGCTACCTTGTCCTTCTGTAATACTTAAGAAGACATAAAGGTACCCTCATGTTGGCAAAATATATTTTATTTGTTCATACAAAGAAATAGTATGAATTACCAGAATTTCATTTTCCTAGAAACATCTTTCTCTGTGTAAAATTAATTTGTGTTATACATAGGACAAAATACTTGATTTAATTTTTTTGTACATATTGGCTATTCTAACATCCAAGTTATAGAAGACATACTGCTAGAATTTCCACAGTATTTTAGATTACTGGGTTGAATGAAACTCAGTCATAAATTAATGTCACAAAAGTGAAAAAACATCTAACCACACCTTTAAGTTTGATTGGCCATCCTCTTGATTAGCCGAAAAGAAAAATCACATTAGCTTCTGTGTCAGCATCTTAGATACGTACTGTTTCTAATTTATTGGAACCTTCCATTTTCCTTTTATGCAAAAATATCCTGGCAGGATCTGAAACTGTTTCTCTGAATGTCTAAAATGTATCTGTCACTTAAAATGATCCCCAAAGAGAATCCTGGGAAGAAAACAATTTCTCCTTCTCCATCATCCAATGAAGCATTTATTAAACAGTTACTATACTTAAAATACCTTTCCAGGTACCACCTACTAAGTTAACAGACTAATGTTCAAACACTGCAAGGAAAGCATGAAATAGATAGAAACAATTAAAACCTCCCAATTATTTTTTGTTGACCTTTTTGTTTGTTTTTAAATACGAAAAGAAACCAAAAACTGAGGGAAAAAAAAGTAATCCAATGAATAAATAAATATCAGAGCTTTTTCTGTAAATTGGAGGAAGCCCAAAACATGTCCCAGGACAAAATGCCAAAACAGAAAAGGGTGTTTGTCTTCTGGCAGCTAAATAGTTAAGTTTGGTGGCCTTGCAGATTGCCAGAACAGAAAGAAATCTAAGGCTTACGTTCCCATGTTATCTAACTTCTGCAGGGGGAAGACATATGGGTTTTGTAATAACCATCACATGATGGGGTTCAAGTTCTGGCAGAAACTGCTGCATCCAGATCCATCAGGAACTCTAAGCCATCGGACCCTTATGAAGAGATGCACATTGATTTATTTGTCTTTCATAGAAAAACTTGCACTATTCCATCAGTACTAATTATGGACATCTGTTTGAATTCAAAGATTTGACCCACTTCAGCATTCATGACTAAATGACCCTCCTTCTACCAGAAAATTTCCTGTTTCAGTTTTATTTTAAGGCAGGGAATAAACAACTTAATCAAACATTGTCCAGCTTGGAAAGAGGGCAGGGACCAGAAGCGAGGACAGCTCCTCCTGCATGTTTTCCTATGGTTTTGTCATATTCCATCCTCTGAATCATTCCGCAGTTCCACATCAAGAACCACATCAGACTATCAGAGTGGCCAGAAAGTGGACAGGGCAAGACCAGGTGAAGCACTTGGATATTGCCTTTAACTTCAAGCCATGTTTTGCTGTTAACTGAAAAGAGGTGTTCTCAGTTTGATTTCAAATAAATGAAAAAAATACACAACCAATTAGCATCCTTATGCAGGTGTTTTTCACACCCACTTATCAACAAGGCAGAGCCATGCTATGATTATGGTGTTCTCCTACGGGCAGGTCCCACACTACTTTCTGGAGCTACGAAATGGATATAACATCAGAGAACAGGGAGAACTTAAGAAATCCACAATCCCCCGAAGAGCTTCCTCCAAAACAGAAGCTAAGCAAAGACGTTTGGATACTAATTGTAAGCTAGCTAGATTTAGGCTAAAACTTTTGGGCAAATATAAACCAGATTATCAAGATACCACCCAAAGACCAGTGACATCTCTGATCAGTTTCTAAAAATGAATGATCTTTTCCTCTTTTCATACATTTCTTACACCATCAGGCAGGTGATCCCATACAACATACAAAAGTGTCCTTTGTAACTATCCCATCCCAACCGTTTTGACAATATGTATATCTTCCCATATATTCCGTCATGGAAGTATAACTGAAATCACAATTATTTGATGATAGTAGAAGCATTCTGGTTTAAAAAACTGAGGTCAAATTAGACATGTCATTATGTGATATTGCTATATGTTTAACCAACTGACCCTATATTACTATATGGCTACTCAATTGCCACTATATTGCTATATGGTAACCCAACTGTTATAAATCAACAGAGAGGCATGGGGAGAGCATTCTGCATAGCACTGACAGTGCTGGTAACCCTTCTGTAAGACCTGGCTAAAACAAGGGACAGCTGTACAAGCATCAGGCTCAAGGGTTTACAGGCAACATGAGGCCAGCTTTTTCAACCTGTTTTTACAAGGGCCACTCTTTGTTCTTGCTGTTTGGCCACTGGCTACCAACCATATTATCACTCTGAGATGTCATTCTGACATGAGCTAGGAATTCCAAAGACGCATTAAGCTGAGGTGTGAGACTCCCTTCCTCTGCCAGGCTGCCTGCCTTTGTCTTTTCTCCCTATTGAGGCTGTGAGCCTACCACCCAACACTGGCTGGCTCTGTACCTAGCAGCACCTTGGTAGGCACTGATGCTGAGGGACGCAGCTGACCCCTCTGAGTCTCGACACCCAGTGCCCTCGGTTTGTGCCAGCGGCTCTGCTAGCCTATGGGATTCTTTGGTGTGTCGAAGCAGGACTGTCTGCCTGGAGAACGCAGCATGGTGCCGTCTCATGGAAATTAAAGGAGATCTTCTTGATTTCTAAGGCAGCACCCAAGCATCTCATACACATGACCTGGGAAAGAGCGGGCAACAATCTGCATACATTTCAAACCAGTTCATGAACCAGGGCATGGGGCAGAGGAGGATACAGGGCCATCCTTCAAAATTAAAAGCTGAAGCCAATGGACCCTTAGTATTCTGACTCTAAAAGGATGTGGATGTCCCTGTAAAGGTAGTGAGGGATTCCCCCATGTGCTGAGTGGAAGTGGGGACAGAACCCTAGTGCTGTGGCTTTCAGGCGACATCACTGGACCTGATACCACATCTGGAAGGAGGCTGCTACATGAGGTCTGCCCTACAGCCCTGTTGAGACAGCTCAGCCTTCTTACTAGGTACACGGGCAGGAAGGGACAGGGAAGCCAGAATGGGAGGCCCAAGGCAGGACATGGAGGCAGCGACCGGAGAACTCAAACAGCAACTGAAGGCTGAATACCCGTAACAACAAAAATGTCAAGTTGTGCTTTTCTTCGTTTTAAATATAGCAGGTAGAGGAGAAGGAAAAAAAATGGAAGCACCATCAATTGTGAAGCATAGAACAAAATATTAGAGTTAAACACTTTGGAATGTTAACAGATTATGAAGCTAACTCTCTGAAGAGTGTGGCTAGGCAGCTTAGTGAATTAATTGCTTATGAATTAAAAATAAATTATTATAAAATAGATTTCTGTACATTTTACATACATATAATCTCTGTCAATATATAAGCCACGTGGGTAAGGTACAAGGCCCGGGTCTGTTCAATCCCAGCCGAAGTCGTGCCCGGTCATCTGGTAGAACTTGAGGTTGAAAGGCCGGTAGAACTCGCGCAGCCTGCGCACCACCTCACGGTCGATCTCGGGGTGGGTCCTGCCCTTGGTCTTGCCCAGGCAGTGGGGCCGGCTGCTGCCCTCCGCCTTCTTCAGGCAGGGGAAGCCCTTGGTCTTGTTGAAGTAGAAGTGCTTGTCCGTGATGATCCTCTTGAGGCCCAGGAAGTCCTGCACGCGGCCCAGCTCGCCGGCCGGGTCGCTGATGAGTCGCTCGCCACTCACAAAGAGCATCTGGCGGATGGGGAAGTGGCGCAGCCAGTGCTCCAGGTGCTTGGCATAGATGCCGATCTGGATGGCGCTCCACGACGTGTCAATGAGGCCCGTCGTCCTGTTTTTGAACGTCAAGCTCTCAAAGGTGGGGATGTCGGGCCGCTTGGACAGCGTCTGCGTGTAGTCCGAGATGGCCCTGGTCACCGGGTCCCGCACCACCACGATGAGCTTGGTGTCCTTGGACATGGCCGAGATGCGCGCGGGAGCCTCCCGCGTGACGAAGTAGCTGGGCGTCTTCTCCATGGTTATCTGCCCGTCCAGGGTTCTGGGCATCAGGTCCCTGAAAAAAGCAAGCAAACAAACTGGGTTCAGTCAGAAGATGAGGCCTCTCTGGCCACACGACTCAAGGTCACCACGTCGAATCCCAGCTCTCTCTTATTTCTGGAAGCAGTGGTAGAAACATGGAAGAATGCAAGCAGAACTTTAGAGCTGAAAGGTACATTAGCATCACACTTGGTTTGGAGGGCAGGTACCGTCTACTGGAAACATGAAGGCAACTTCAAGCAAGGTAGAAAGAGCAAGCTACCTGTTTCTCTAAGATCTTCTTGTGGGGATCACCCTTCCCTTATTTTTTCAGCTTTCAGATTGCCCCAAGCATCTGATGCCAAAATACAAAAACCTTTGGCCTCTGATAAGTGCCTTTCCTAAAAATATAGCACCCAGGACTGCCAGAGATTTCACTGTCCATGAGTCCTGGCACTATTTTGCCTTCCTACACTTACCAAACCCGGGAAAATGTACTGTGGGCACTGGAAGGAAAACATCCATCAGGCCCAGCCCGGCTGTTCCAGCTTTAACACAGTGACTGCTGACAAAGCCTTTACTCCACAAAGCAACAAAGCACACGGCAGCAAAAGACTCCAGTCAAACAGGTAAGTAAACTGATAGAAACATGCCATGAGGAAATTCCCAAGACACAACTCTAGAAACCTCCAAAAATAGTGCTCACTACCTGGGTGATGGGATCAATCATACCCCAAACTTCAGCCTCATGCAATATACCCATATAACAAATGTGCACATGCATCCCCGAATCTGAATTAAAGTTGAAATTATAAAACAACAATAACAAACAGGCTGGCCACAGTGGTCCATGCCTGTAATCCCAGCACTTTGGGAGGCTAAGGATGGCAGATCACCTGAGGTCAGGAGTTCGAGATCAGCCTGATCAACGTGGAGAAAACCCGTCTCTACTTTAAAAAGTACAAAATTAGCTGGGTGTGGTGGCACGTGCCTGTAATTCCAGCTACTTGGGAGGCTGAAGCAGGAGAATCGCTTGAACCTGGGAGGTAGAGGTTGCGGTGAGCCGAGATCGCGCCATTACACCCCAGCCTCCAACAGGACAGAAACTCCGTCTCAAAACAAAAAACAAATTCTATTTCCACTAGGAAATGGAATTTTCTAATGGATTCCATTGGGGAAAACAACGTGTAAGATATCTATTGTGGCATTAATTTCAACAAAATCATGTAGACAACACTGTTACAACCTACAGGACATACAGTTCATGGTATATGGACCAAAATGCAGTTTTATGGGGATAAATCACAACCACATTAACTATACAAATCCATGATGTCAGACCTTCGATACAAGAAATGAAGTCAAAAGGCACGTGAATCCAGCTGATATGATAAAACAGGTTGCAAAATTTGTTATTACGTAGATTCTGCTATATGACTATGTAATTGTTGCTGTAAAATATTTGGCAGAGTCCGGAACCTAGATGTGAGGGGTCTGTTGATCCTGTAACTCCACTCCATATAATGTTTTCAAGTGAATCCATAGAAAAGCTCTAGGAAGTAGAAACAGCACCAACCAAGGCAAGCAGGGGTGAGGGGGAAGGACTGAGACAAGGAATAAGGCAACTTTGGATAAGGAGGATGACCCATGCTGGGAAGAAGCAGGACATAAAAATTGGCGCCCATGCCAAAGAAAATGCCTAGAGTTTTCGCGTTCTGCTACATCTCAGGAGACAGGAAATGGAAGGAAGGAAAGAGTGCTGGGTGAGATGTCTCCTGGAACAAGAGACTTCCAGATGAAGGCAAGGACTGTAGTGGTCTCATCCTGTGTTAAATGCCTAGCACCTAACGTGGTGTCTGGAATGACAGCAAGCATCCAATAACTATATGAACAGATACGTAGTCTAGCTGATCAGTAAATCCTGAATGAAAATATTAAGAGTTAAGAATATGGGCTTTGGTGTAAATGGGCCTAGGGTTGAATCCCTCTCTACCACTCATTAGCTGTGTATGATGAGGCAAGTTACTTAACCTCTCTGAGTCTCAGGATCACAATATGTGAAGTGCAAATAATCCCACCTACCTCATATAGTTGCTATTAAAAATAAGGCTGGGTGCAGTGGCTAATGCCTATAATCCCAACACTTTGGGAGGCCAAGGCAGGTGGATCACCTGAGGTCAGGAGTTCGAGACCAGCCTGACCAATGTGGTGTAACCCCGTCTCTACCAAAAATACAAAATTAGCTGGGCTTGGTGGCACATGCCTGTAATCCCAGCTATGCGGGAGGTTGAGGCAGGAGAATGGCTTGAACCCGGGAGGCGGAGGTTGCAGTGAGTGGAGATTGAGCCACTGCACTCCAGCTTGCCACCTGGCGACAAAGCAAGACCCTGTCTTGAAAAAAAAAAAAAAGGAAAAAAATTAAATGAAGTTCATCAAGCTGAGTCCGTTTAGCTTAAATTAGCTCCTTAAATTAGTTAAGGAATTTGGGCTCCAAAGTCAGACTGCCTGGGTTTAAATTCTGTCTGTACCACTTATAAGCTATGCCACTTTGAATGATTTATTTAACTTTTCTGGGCTTCTTTTTCTCATCCACAAAAATGTAGCTACCAATACCTATTCATGGAAGTTTAATGAGGATTAAACAATTAATAATTATAATAGGCTTAGAACATGCCTGACATATGGAATATACTTGACAAATATCAGCCACGACTGCTGTTATTATCATCATTAAGATGCTCAATACACAGTTTATGACATGATAAGACCAAGTTCAGCGTGTGTGTATAAGCGCTAGTGTGTACACATCAAAAGGAGGCATTAACTCAGTGGATACTAAGTTTTGGTCACAGATCTACAATCAGACAACTACAAGTCAGATAAGTTATTGGGTGCCTGCTAAATTATTCTAGACACCACGTTAGGGGCTACATCATCTATTAGCTATCTGCTAGGGAATAGAGATTTCTGATTGATTCCTGCCTAGCCACAGGAATTAAAAGTAAAAAAAAAAAAAAAGACAACTTCCACATTATTTTTGACCAAATATTTACCTCTCAGTAAGGCATTCTAAGCTTCAAGGCATCTTCATCCCCTGAGACCACAATTCCCCTATCCAGTACTGATACAGAAACGATAGAAACTTTATCACGGGAGCCAGAAAAGGCAATTCCCTGGAGAGAGGGCACTTCTTCCCGACTGCCAACAGGGAGTTAGAAGAGTGCTTTTCCCTTAAGGAAGACTGCCTCAGCCGCACTGGAGTCAGCCCTGGTTTAAGTTAAAGCTGGATTGACCCACTTTGTCCATTAACCACTTACATTAATGTAGCAGTGTCATCAGGCTAATGTGATTGAGGATTAAAGGAAGTCCCAGCTCGAAACTTATTTTGCATTTGACTAAAAAGCAGGTCAGTTCAGATAAAGCCCAAGTCCTTTTTTCCCTGCATTAAACCATCTGCAACTAGACAGTTTACAAGAGGTTACTATTCAGAATCAAAGCGTTATCACCACGACTGAAGGAATACCAAACCCCAGCGTTCCTCAGTGCCATTGCAGAGAGGGCAGTTTAAGGCCCTCCTACTCGGTGTCAGTCTGACCTAACATGGCTTGGAAGTCAGGCCACCAAGTATGACTCTCAGCACCTCCATTTACTAAGGTGTATGACCGGGGGTGGGGGATGCATCACTTAACCTGGCCAAGCTGCAGTTTTCTCATCTGAATAACGAAAAAAAAAAAGGATGATGTCTGCCTCTTAGGGCTTTTGAAGGAACTGCAAAGCTAGCTTTGGTACCCAGCCTGGTACCTAGTAGGCTGTTAGGAAAATGTTATCAATTATCTTCTGTTGACAGGATCTTGGCAAGGACGTAAGGAAGCAAGGTTTGCGCGCAGGGGACTTGTCACTCATTCAGTTCTACCCCGCAGTGGGGCAATGAGGGAGATTTGGCTCCTGGAAGGGGCTAAGTGCAGGAATGCTGGATTCCTCTCTCAGCCTTCCTGGGGTCCACTACCCTCCCTGAACTCTGCAGCCTGCATTTCATCACTGGCCCTAAAGAAGGATTTGTCAGTAGCTGTACAGAATGCTAAATTGGCAATTGTGGAGAAGAAACCACATAATAGAGCTAGTAAAAAGGAAATGAGAGATCGATCATAAGATTCCCTGAGCCAAGGGCAGATTTACTGTGCTCGACTGCCTGCTGGTTCCCCAACCCATGTAAGCGCTCCTCTCCCCAGGACAGTCTGGTGTTTGTCTACATGTCAGAAAGCACGCAAGGAGCCTCAGAATTTATTTGGATTATTGTCAAAATAATGGAGCCAGGGGAAAAAGAGACTTCTTTCTAAGGCCAGGCGCGGTGGCTAATGCCTGTAATCCCAGTACGTTGGGAGGCCAAGGTGGGTGGATCATGAGGTCAAGAGATCGAGACCAGCCTGGCCAACATGGTGAAACCCCGTCTCTACTAAAAATACAAAAATTAGCTGGGCATGGTGGCACCTGTAGTTCCAGCTACTTGGGAGGATGAGGCAGGATTATTGCTTGAACCTGGGAAACAGAGACTGCAGTGAGCTGAGATCGTGCTACTGCATTCCAGCCTGGGTGACAGAGCGAATCTCCATCTCAAAAAAAAGAGTGAGAGAGAGAGACTTCTAAGCCCTTGTACAGCGGAGGCTCTGGAGCCACTCTCTCCTCGACATGGTTGGTTGAGAAGTGAGATGCATGACGGAATTTATCATTTTGGCAAATGCCTCCTGCACCATCTCCAAAGGCTTCCAGGGGCACATCAGTAGTGGGCACTGGGCTCAGACCCTGGCATCTCCCCTATGCCCCTGTGGATCAATCTGTTAAAGAAAAAATTACTTGGCCAGGCTTGGCGGCTCATGCCTGTAATCCCAGCACTTTGAAAGGCCAAGGTGGGTGGATCACTTGACATCGGGAGTTCGAGACTAGCCTGATCAACATGGTGAAACCGTGTCTCTACTAAAAATACAAAAATTAGCTGAGCGTGATGGCACACACCTGTAATCCCAGCTACTTGGGAGGATG